AAAAAAAAAAAAAAAAAAAAAGGATTGACAGAGTTTTGCCTAAGCAATAGGTTACATGGTCAGGCGAGGTGGTACATGCCTGTAATCCCAGCACTCAGGAGGCTGAAGCAGGAGGATCTTGTGAGTACGAAGTCAGCCTGGGCTACAAAGTGAGCTCAAGGCCAGCCTGAACAGTATGAGACCCTGTTTCAAAAACAAAAACGGGGGGCCAGGGAGATAGCTCAGTAGAATATGCGCTTCCCTGGCAAGCGCAAGGGCCTGAGTTCGATCCCCGGTTCCGAAAAAAAAAAAAAAAAAAAAGTTGTATCAAGGGCTGAATGCAGTAGTGTGTCTATAATCCCAGCACTTGGGAGACTGAAGCAGGAGAATTACTTTAAGGCCAGCCTGGAATACAAAGCGAGTTCAAGGCCAGCTTGAACTAAATAGTGAGACCCTGTCTCAAAAAACAAAAACAAATCCAAGTTATATAAATAATGGTATGGTGCTTCTATTGTACAGTCACGAGATATTTACATACTAAATGTACACTGTTCGAAAGAAGCCTATACAAGCACCAAAAAGGATACAAAAGCACATCTGGGCACCCAAGAGTAAAGAAAAGTGCTCACTGCACAGCAAGGACACTGAGCCCCACCAATAATTAGCCTTTAGGCAAATTAATTCCTCTGAGCCTCAGTTTACTCAAATTACAAGTTGAGGGCACTTGGCATAGCTACAAAGTAGTTATTCAATAAATATTAAGGAACTTGTAAGTGTCAGTATAGTGAGTGCTGAGGACACATATACCAGTGAACAAAACAGACAAAAATCCTCACCTTAATGGGGCTTACATTCCACTAGAATTGCAAGACAGGCTAGAAAGTATAAGGAAGTTGAAAACCCAAGCAATGAATTAAGTTCCAGTATTACCCGATGAAATGTGCGTTCCACCACCTCATTAACGAATGCATTCAAGTTCAACCCAACCCCGGTACAGAGATGTGAAAACTAAACAGCCAATAAAGAAGGAAAGTTTAAACAGTAACTTGCTTTGGCAGGAATCGAACGCTCAACAATACTGTACAGTGGTAGTAGCTGGGATGGGAGAGGAGAGTAAGGCAGAACCCTGCCCTCTGAATGAACAGGTAGCAGAACCCAATCTTCTGGAATCTTTACCCTTCTTAGACAGAACCCCCGTTTCCCCCCCCGAGAAACCTCCATTCTTCCGGTTTTGCTCCGTCTTCCCACCTGGCCAGGTCTTCCCAACCCAGCTGCAGCCCAACTCCTACCTCCGAGCCGTCTCCCCACCGCGTCCCCTTCCCGCCCCCGCCCTTCTTTTCCCAGCAATTTCATTCCAGCCCCTTCTGCACACAACCAGCCACTTTCCTCAGTCGCTTTCCCGCCCGGCTCTCCTGCCCGGCTCCTGCCCCGGGCCTCTGCCTCGGTCCCCATCGGTCGAAACGGAGGATCTCGTCCCTGGCCAGGGCCACTACTCACCTCACAAACTTCAGCCCCTGAGACGGAGCCCGAACGTTACACCGGAACCGGAAACCTTCGGACTGCCCTACGGCCTGCCGTCGCTACAGACACGGCCGCCGCCACGCTGCGGCCCTCCGACACGTGACTCCGGGAGGCGGGACGCGACTGCGCAGCCGCAGTGAGCGCTCTCCCGCGGCGCCTCGGCGCGCAGGCGTTGCCAAATCCTGAAAGGCTCCCTGCGCCGGCCGTTGGCCTTCCCCAGCTAAATCCAGTTAGTTAGGTTACTGGGCAGTCATTGTCGCCTACAGCAGAAGTTAGGCCACTTTGCAGTTTTCCTCGTGTTAAAAGTAAGTGTGCAAACGCAAGGATCCGAGTTCAATCCCCGGTTCCGCCAAAAAAAAAAAAAAAAGTAAGTGTGGCCAGCTGTGGTGGCACACGCCTGTAATCCCACCAGTCGCGGGGATCGCCACAAATTCAAGGCTAACCTGCCTGAACTACGTATGACCCTGTCTCAACAAGAAAGGTGGGCTGAGGAGATAGCTCAGTGGTCTGAGTGCCTGTCTGGCAAGCACAAGGACCCCCCCAGTTAGATCCCCAGAACCCGGGCCACACTGTGCCCACCACCGAAACCGGACGTGGTGGTGCACACCTGTAATCCCATGGCTGGGGAGGCTGAGACAGCAGGATCACTATGAGTCTGAGCTGCATAGTGAGATCCTGTATCAAATAAATGATTAAATAATTAAAAAACAAAAAAGCGAGTGAAAAATCTTGAGGGGATGGAGAGATATGGCTCAGTGGCACAGCGCCTGTCTGTCAAGCCTGAGGTCTTGAGTTCGATTTCAGATTTAAAAAAAAAAAAAGTTGAAGATGTGGCTTAGTGCAAAGGCCTGAGTTGAAACCCGCAGCACAGGGCATGGGGGAGGGGAGTGTAGAAGTGCTAAAGTTTTGCTACAACTGAACGTGTTCACATGCATTCAGCCCTTCTTATAATAAGCCGCTGAGTTGTGATCACTAACATAAACCAATAGTGTAGGAGATCATCCAAAAAAAAAGCCAAGCAGAAGAGGAATCCTAGGAAAGCAGCCCACTGTATGTATTTTGTTCATTCAGGGACAGATATTTAACAACTATCTACTGCTCCATGCCAGGCACTCTGAGACATGATATTGCTTAGCTATTAGGTAAAAATACTGGCTTTAAAGTTGAACTGCCTTGGGACTGGGGAAACAGCTCGGTCGTCTAAGCGCCTGCCCGGCAAGCAGGAGGACTCAGGTTCCATCCCCAGTACTGGGTGCCATGCTGGCCCCAGAACCCCGGGTGTTGTGGTGCATGCTTGTATTCCCAGCACTGTAGAGTCTAAGGCAGGAGGATCACTACAAGTTTCAACTGGGTATCAAGACCCTGTACCAAATAAATAAAATTTTATTTTATTTTATTTTTTGCGGTACTTGGGATTGAACACAGGACCTTGTGCTTGCCAGGCAAGCACTTATTCTATTGAGCTATCTCCCCAGCCCTTTATTTTTTATTTATGTGTTTGGTACAGGGCCTTATTACCCAGCTTGGACTCAGTGATCCTCCTGTCTTCAGCTTCCCCAGCGCTGGGATTACAGGCCTGCACCACCACTCGAACTGGGTCGCTGGCTCAGCATGCCTGGGGTGGGTACAGCACAGAATGCAGTAAGGGGGATCGAACCCCAGTCTCTGTGCTTGCCTAAGCAAGCACTTAGTCCTCTGAGCTATCTTGTGGGCCCAATAAAAGATTTTTTTTTAAATTAAAGTTTAACTGCCTATGCACAGGAATCGACAACTGGGATCTCATCTTATTAAAAAGCTTTTGCACAGCAAGAGAAACCACCAACAGAGTGAGTAGACAATCCACAATGTAGGAAGTATCAACTGTTCCTCAGACAAAAGATTACTATCAGTGGGGCCAAGGAGATAGCTCAGTGGAATAAGTGCTTGCCTGGCAAGCTCAAGGTCCTGAGTTCTCTCCCTGGAACTGCCAATAATAAATAAATAAATAAATAGATAGATAGATAGATAGATA